GCAAGTGTACATGTCGATTTATCCGTTAAGATGTGACAAGGGCTAGGTAACAGGTGTCAAACTTTTTATTTAATCTATAGATTATTGTCGTCGTCATACCGTTGGTTTCTGATATCAAAATCTGTATACAACATATCGTCATCCCTCTCAATATCTTTGACAAAACGGATATAACAATATGTTTTAAACCAGGATTTTGGTCTCAAAAGCGCACTTTTAGAGGGAACTTTTTATCATAGGGTGACTTAGAACAGAGGTGGTTTCATTTACGAAATTAAAAATTACGCACAACATACAAAATCATAGCGCAGTAATTACTCTTCTGACTAAATTTGTATTCTTTAAAAATGTATGTCATAGTAATTAAACTCCGTGGTATGTTATCTTTTTCAACTTCCTGTAGTGGCCTCTTAATTCGCCAAAATAGCGAAGTTATCGTTGCCTATAAGCATCTGCATTTGAATCAATACATAACATTGTGATCGATATAAACAAACATTTTATAGAGCAATCAAAACATTCTTATCTTATCACATGCATTTGTCATTAAATCTTGTAAGTATAAAATAAAACGTTGAACTTACAATGAACAAAGCGTGTGCTGTGGCATACACAGAAAGCAATGACCTACTTAGCGACCAACAATACTGGTTCCATGAAAATTGTTCGAGAACCTTCTACCTCTACATCTGTGAGGCAATCCTTGAGAATATACCAGATGATTCATCTTACAAAGGTTTACCAGGATCTATTAGGATGTATGCTTCAAACAAAAGTTGAGATTTTTACAATTTGTGGTAAAGCTAAAAGTATCGCGTACATATAAAGTTATCCTAGAATAGCTGTCGCCCGCGATTCCGTCCGCACGGAATAAAAAAAAAGTAATCTATGTGTTCTTCCAGACTATATTCTACATGTGTCAAATTTCATCAAAATCCGTTGAGCTGTTTCGGAGATACCTTCAACAAACATCCATCCATCTAAACATTCGCATTTATAATATTAGTAAGAGTAAGAAGTAAGATATGAGGCCACATGATAATGTGTAATTTTATTACTATTGCATTTAAAAATTGTTTACTGTAAATTTAAAATCTATTTAATGACCCTAAGGTATGAAGAACCGTGACATCTTTCTCGCTTATAGAGATTTCCTCGCTAACCCTAGTTTCGCGCTTATAGAGGTGGTTGTCGGGACCGGACAATAACTCTCGCTTAGGTTAGACTTTAGCTGTAAAAAACCGTTACCGTTGTATAAAACGATGACGAACGTTTCTTGTATAAGACAAAATAGTGTTAGTAATTTTACAATTTACCAGAGTACTGAACACGCAGATTCCGCTTAAATCGAAATGGTAGATCTTGCATAATTTTGATTCTGATGAATTACTGTTCAAAATAGACTGAAACACATTTAATGAACATAAATAAACAAATTCATAAATGCGAAAAACATATTTTTCATGTGAAACAGTTTTCACATTACGAGCGCCAGCCGTCATCAACGATAATATTCAAAGAAAAATAAACACACAAAACGATGAGGCCAAGATTTGTACACAAACGATATTCCAGTCAGTCATTAGAAACGTAAAACCTCTTTGGCGGGTAAAACTTGACGAGCATAGACTTACATTTTCGAAAAAAAACGTCACGCTTTATTGGTTGGAAACATAATTGAATTGAAATAGAGATATGAGTCCGACTGTTCCTTATATAATAACGTATTTATATTTCGAGTTTGTACATCTCTATTAGTTATGCGAGTTGTATTTACAAAGCATTTAGTACATTTAACATTATATATTAAAAATACATAACAGTTAACAGGCACCATAAAGATATACCAGAGAGATCATTATCACACATAGATGAATTCTATACTTTTTTGAAATGAAATAACCGACAAAAGCCATAATACTTCCTCACACGCCAAGCTATCGTAAATTCTAAAACATACGGGAACGCTGAGATATTTGTTAGAGATCAGAGATTGATCTGCTAATAAATATTTTTTTTTAATTTACGCGTTTAAATCGCGGGCAACAGCTAATTATCAATAAAACAATTGCACAACATTCAATAGTTACCGGCACATGTGATTGCCTCACACCTTGTGTACTAAAATAGTCAGTATGTGAAGCGATCCCGGTTCGCCTGTCATTGACAGCGAGTAGTATCGCCTCTGACTCATACCATGTCTGCCACACTTGTCTGATTGTGGCGTAATTTCTCATCTCCGTACTAAACTATTTGATGTATACTGTTTTTGGACGAAATACTATGTATTTCGTCAACCAAGGTATACACACTGTGAATACAAAATACTACAAAGAAGGCAGACATGAAGTGGAAGCCATTTTGCGTTTAATCTTATGACTGGATGCCTAATTTAAGTCCTCTTCCCCTTCCACCATTTGCTTAAAGGAAAGGATGGGATGGGGATTTTAATCAAGGATGAGCACAAGAAGTGGCAAAAAAGTGTGTATAAAGAACATACGAGATTGATCCTTACGATATGGAATGTGGCTATAATCAGTCAAAATTATTTGTTGGCACATCTGACTTCATAATGTTAATTTCATGAGAATAATGACACATTTATATGTAAAGGTTCACTCTGAAATAGACAATCTGAACAAATCAAGTATGCATGGATCTTAAGACCCATATCCAATAGTGCGAATAGCCCTGCAACTTTTAATATCTGCGACTGCTATTTGTATGAAATCACATAGCTGCACCAGGGGAAATATTACGTAGGAACATTGTTCATATAAATAGCAATCATGGTAGTGGCTTATCTTTATATATATAATTCTTCTGTGAGTGTGTATGTCACTGAACTTCTCTCAAATGACTGGACCGATTTTGATGAAAATTTTTGTGTGTGTTCAAGGGGATCTGGGAATGGTTTAGATTCACAATTTTGTTCGCTGGACAATGTTTTTTAATTAATTTTTAATTTATTAGTAGTTGTTGATTTTGGAACATTTTACATTGGATCCGACAGACGGCGCTACCATCGCATTGTCAAATTTTAAATAATATTCGAATTTTAATTTTAGTCTGTCCCAACAGTTAGCGTGCGTTAGCGTAAAGACGTGTATACAGGATAACATGTCAGGTCCGCTAGTATTATGTAAAAAAACAGAGTGGTGAGGAACACTGGGAGGCATAGACATTTATCCCTATACAAAAGACTTTCTTATGTAATGTGATTGTTTGGAGAATAAATAAATATAACTTTTATGAGTATTTGCTCTTTGTTTTATGAATTGAATTGAAATTTCTGTTTAGAATAGTCAAGAATTTTGTAGAATGATCTATCATTTTGCAGTATTGTTCTCAATGTATACGCCAAAGTGTCCACACTAACTTAATGCAGTTGGCTAAATAAAGTCATATCTAATAGAGGTACTTTAAAATGTTGAAATGTTTTTCAAAAGCAATTAAACAAGAAATGTATTAAGAGAAATATTAATAAGTGATGCTGTTTAGAATCTGGAATTTGTGGTTTTTTTTTTTTATTGCCCACAGATAGGTGACATGGCAACAGCAATTGATAAGTATTGCTGATACCAAAATATAACTATGGCAAACCAATGCTACATGTAAAAATCATAATGGTATGTTATTTCTTTTTTCCAAAAATAAAAGCGATGGAAAAATCTTTTCATACTAACCAGCATATTGACAGTGGCTCCTTCGTTGTCCAATGTTTTTTTGTAATATCAAACCTTGTTGGTTTACTATTACAAAAAACATTGTTTTAAGTCTATTTAAAACTTCATGAAAAAACCTTAGCCGATATTTATCTTTAAAACTCCCTGCGGGAAAAATCCTTCAAACAACTGCCTATGTTGCTTAGATTCATATAAAATTTGACTAATAATTATAGTTTAAAGAGCCATAAAAGAAAAAGAAATTGAATTATTTGTATACTACATTGAATTATGCATGTTTTTACTTAATTTAAGACAAAAACTGTCACACTACAAAGAATAATTTTTCTACTAAAAGAAAGGATGAATCAACTCTTATTAAGTAATACGAAAATAGAGTTTGGTTTTTATAAATATCATGAATCGTATTTAAAAATACAAGTAGACGTTGTGCCTATGCACCGATTCAGACTCCTTGCATCCAATTAAGGAGAACAGATGTTTTAAAGGTCACACACATAACCTTAGCCCACAAAAAGAAGAAATAATAAATGTCACATGATCAAATAAGAAATTATTCTAAAAAAATATGTAACAACAGATGATTGAAGGACATAAACAGGTGTTGGTAGTGGAATAACACAATTGTTATTGAACTTACTCAGTTCGTTGGATGCCGAAACCGCTGGATCGCTTACAAAAGAGCTGCTGCGGCTACCGGGACCCCATTGTGTTCTTCGACCATTTTCTCTGGACTCTGTCTTCTCCGTATCATCACCTTTACACAGATGAAATGCAAGTACGCACCAATATAACACAAAACCGATACGCATCTTGATCTGTTACACTAATAAAACAATTACACAAAATAATTTTGAAGCACTCGTCCTACACTGCACTCTATGGACATTCTATTCTAATATTCTACACTTTGTAAAGGATTTTTCAGTTTCTAGGGCCACATAATACACGAAGAAAACGTAAGACCGCAGACATTAGACGTTTGTAAAAGAAAAAAACTGAAATAATTTTGACGTGGGACTTTTTCATTTAGAATAGCAACATTGAAAAAATATAGATTATATGGCATTCGTTTTCTTTGTCAGTAACAGAAGAGAAAAATCAAAACTGAAATACAACTATCCAAAATTAAATAAATTATTAAACAATAATTCCAGGATAAATATAAAATAAACAAAACTTTTTTCCACAAATAGAAATGTGTTGCAATGCTAAAAACGATGGTTGAAAATTAATCGATAATTTTGTGACGTCTCGTCTTATGATGAAATGGTATTACTATGGTATGTTACCAAAATATGTCAAATGACCTTGCTAGTTTGTAAACAATACCTTGGTAAAGAGTTCACTTTGATATAAGTTTGCTGTTTTATTACTAAATTGTTATTAAACTGAATCAGATTGTTAAGGCTTTGAAGTGGCAGGTAATAAGCACAAAATGAACATCGATTTCGAGACTATGGCTGTTCTGGAAGAGGAATCTCAAAACGTAAGTATCTTCTTTGTTGTTTGTTTATAAATTGTCGATTACAATTGTTTTTATATCCACGATGTGCTTTACACGTAAAAACATATCCTTTATTAAGTCCTATATAGGTTAATCTTATCAAGCGAAGAAAAAAGATATCAAAAATCACTTCCTTGTCTATTTATAAAAATCGTAACAATTTCCTCATTGATAGTAATATTCGCGCTTCGTTTGTATTGCACAACAATATGAAGACTTTCATCATGGCCGTTTGGTGACATTTATATTTAATGGAATATTAAATAATGCTAAAATGACGCAAAAATGTATCATAGGCGTATTAGGAACAATAGTTTAAAAAGAACAATCATTTTGTGTCAACACATGGTGATATACTTATTTTACTACTATGAATGTATATGTATAATAATTTATGATGATAAAAAGATTAATTTTGATATCAGGTTAAATTTATAAGCATAATTATACAATGATCTGCTATTAAATGATTAACACATTTGCAGAAATGTGTTAAGTATCATTTTTTAAATATTTATGACTTGAGCTAGCATCAAAAAATAAATTATATAAAATAAATTACAGTAATAATAGATTTATTCCTACATAATCTTGTGAACTTATGAGGTCTCTACTCATATTGAGAGTACAGAGGTTAGTTAGTGGTTGATTAGTTATTAATATTTCACTATAGGTACAACTTTTTATTTGAAAAAACTGTATGTGAGTTTAACTAAAGTAGCATGGATACATTGTTTTAGACCTTAGGTGTGAGTATCTAGTAATCTGTATTATTTTAATAAACTTTGTGATATTTTAATTTGAATTATAACATATGATTGCTGTTGCTTCAATTATGTCATGTTATTTAATAGAAAGATATTGAGGTAATACAAGTTACAAATTGAACAACAGAGCCATCTACAGTAATTTGGATTATTATTTTTGCTCTTTGAGTGTGTTGATTTTTGTTATCATTGTTTGGATATAGATGGCGCTATAAAATTATTATTTTAATTGCGCATGTTGACAATTTATTTTCATTTCGTTTATAATTTTGGAAATAACCATTAGTGTGAGATAAGACCACTAAAATATCAACAATTCAAATGCTAAGAGTATCTTTTGGTGTTGGTATCACTTAAAATTGTCGCACAGTTCATTTGCTATGGTTTACATTATACCAAATTTCATCAAGATCCATGTAGCTGTTCTGGACATACCTTGTAACATCATTCGCATTTTTAATATCAGTAAGATTTAGAGAAACTGACTGAATTCAACCAAATGATATTTATAATAACTCAAAGATCATCCCGTTATAATTCAGAGAGTACCAATAATCTTCATACGAAAAAAGTGTCTGATTGCGGTTTGCATGTATTTTTTGTAAATTTGTGAAGATAAAATCGTTGAGAAAATTACATATACTTTAAAAAAGACGAACCACAATGGCTAATCTAAAATATCTAACAGAACCTTTTGGTTTTTCAACAATTTTAATTATTACTGCCCTTAACGAAGACTTGCGTTCATGCTTTTGTAATCTGACCTTCCTTACAACGTAGTATTGGATTACTCACAGGCACACCTTTGCCTTATCTAGGCAATTGAACGAAAACAGATTACGAATTTATTTGAAAATCGATCTTCGCTCTCTTAATTATGGTGTGTTTTACTTTAAATGTAAACATGCGATTTAGACTAAACACAAAGCTCTTTGCTTTTCTTATCTGTATATTGTTTTACATTAGAAAAGGAGTTCAATCAACTCTTTCATGTTTAATAGTAAATTAGGCCATATAATATTTTTTAGAAAAATAATTATTTAATTTGATGATAAATATAAAACGCTAACAATTTTAGTATAAGGCGGGTTGTTTTTAAACTAGCCGTGCTCCGCGGTGGCCGTTATTAACATGCTTGAAATAAGTTTTGTTGAATGCAAACAATTTTTTTGACGTCACACGTTTAACAGAAAGTCCTTGAATTAATTCAATTTAAAGCTGCGGCGTAGTTTATAAAATGACTGAAAAAAAAACACGTTTCTGCTATGCAGTTTTATTATTCTGAATTGTTTTTCTTACATATAAGGCTTGTATTGAGGAATGGTCTGTTCTATTATTATTTTTTCGGTCAGGTTAAAGGCAGTAAGTATGTACGTACATGTATGTAAATTACAGTCCCGTTCTTTGTCGGTATTCCACCTTTATGCGACAATCGTTTGAACTACTAGCCACAACGCTTTGAAACGGAAACTTACATTCAACACTATACAATAGATAGGATTGTTTTTATTTGATTAAAACATCAATTGCACTCTAATTATCATTTATTTCTTACCAAACAGTAGTTTGTTTTTTGCGAGGTGCGGGGCAATTTTTCTGTAACTGCAATAGCGCGAACGAATGCGACTGTACTTTCCATTAGGAGAATTCTTGTTAGAGTAAATGACTGACCTGGTTTTGAATAGTAGATGTAATCTGTATTTTCCCCGGATTCATCAAGCGTATCTACACTCTGTCGGTTTTTTAATTAATTAATATTATGCACTTAAGACGATGGGAGAATTGCATGAGTCGTATAACCTTGGGTACGCTTTTACGTCGTAAATTTCCGACCTAGGACAGTTCTTGCGCAGTTAGGTGCAACAGTAAACTACGTGACGATATTCAGCCACGTATATTTTATTTATGAATCTTTCCAGAATTTTCCACGCCTTCGAACGTGTTCCACTCTCTATTCACTGTTGCCGTACCTCTCTATCTTCTTTGCTTGCTTGTGACCTCATTAAAACACCACTGTATTAATGTAAGTTTAGCCAAAGTCTGGTGAACCTATAAATTTTTTAATCGCAACTGTATTGACGTTAGTTTGATTTGAGCGACAATTTTTCTTTGTGCTGTCCCCGTAGAAAGATATAAGGACGGGGAAGTGATGACTAAATTTTCATGATAGCACTGTTTTTTTTCCATGTGGATGGTAAAGTGAAAAGCGAAGAATTATTTACTAATTATCTAAAACAATACGAAACACAACAAAGAAGTGTGCTTCAAAAAGCTCGATTGAGTCATTAGTATTACCCCTTATAAGGTGTATCTACTATACGTATTATCGTTAAATAATATTTTTACATTAGAAACTTTTACCTAAACTCTTCGATTAGCTATTCATCTGCGACGTACCTACGTAATTCAATAAAATATCCGTAGGTATAAACTGCATTCAGTTACTGAGTGCAGCCAAACGATAAGGTCACTTATCCAAGGTGGGGAGGAGTACAATAAGTTGTTGCGACACGCACCGCGTACTGTGGTTTTTGTAGTGTAAGATACGTGTGGCCGTGCGAAGAATAATACATTTTGTATCCCTACGACATTGAGTCTCGAAAAAGTTTTATTTATTTTCTAAAAAAAAAGCCAAGTCGCCCGGTCGCTTGCAGCGCGGTAGAGCGGGAGCGCGCTCGCCGTCTGTCAGTTTGTGTTGAGGCAGTCGCTAAAGCGGACATACCGTGATAATCCTGTCAAATCGTAAGTAAAATTAACTTTTATGTTGAAAAAGATGTGTTAAATGTGTCCAGTAATAGTGAATCAATAACACCGGTATGAGTAAAAAGCGTGTTTTTAGAGCTAAATATGTTTGCAGTCGACTTTTATTTTAAGGTTATGATATGACAGTTACTACGCCGCATAAAATGAGCATCATTGCCGCGCAGTTCGGTGAGTTCGTATCACCGGTCATTTGTTGCTAACTGAGAAACAATTGCGTATTTTGTTTTGTCTTGCAATAGCGCAGTTACATTGTTGCAGTGTTTTCTGTTGTTACTAATGCACAAATATCTTTTTCATACGAGGAATGTGAGCATAATAATGTTATGATTACAAGTTTGCGATTTGTGTTGATATTTTCTTATCGGCGTATTTATTTATCGTCAATTTTTTATCTCCTTGTGGTATCATTGAATCCATTTAGTCTAGCGATATATTTTGACAGTTTAGTAAAAGATCATTAATAGAAATTACAAAAAGGTTTATATAAGTTCTTAATCTTATTGGAATTTTGTGTTGATTTGCCGACAATTGTGCAATAAGAAATTCTACATCGTTTCTTGTAACCATCAGATACTTAATACAAACAATACTTCAAGAAGCTTGCGTTTACATCTTTCACATTTGCAATTGTGCAGCGAATCTATGGTAATTTCAAAATAAAATGTACTTATTTTAATAGTCTGTTAATCCTCGATCAACGTAGTAACCTCGTATGTGCGTAATACAAACGTACTTTCTAAAGCCGACGATATGATGATACTTTTTATATACGTGGGATACTTCTCGCCAAACAACTTTATATTACAAATATTTTTTTATTCCTCTTAAAACTTATTTAAATATAAGAACGAACATTTAATTGGTTTAAAAACAGAGGGCAAAGTGACCTTAAAATCTGTTGCAACTCATGCAGAACGACGTATAGCTATCGCCTACGCAGTTGTTTATACGCATTCGGCATTCATGCGATCCGTGTTGGGTCAACTTTCACACTGTTCTTACATGTGATACCTACGTTTATCTAGAAAAATACTTTTTATGGAAGAAGGTAGAAAATTAGCAAGAAATTCACATGACGTAATGCAAAAGCCAATAAGTCTTCGACGACTAGGTGCCCGCAAAAGAAAAGATTTGTAAGGCAACGAAAATTAGAATGAAGTAAGATGGGATTTCTTATAGGCCAAAAATAAAAAGTATAATAAATCTACACTACAAAGGTTAGAAAACCTTCTAGGACTTCGGCAAATTGCACAGCATCATATTTAGACCTAATTGGGCGACCATAAGGTATAGAAGTCTTCATCATCCTAAACGTGACTGCCATACCCAAAAGATATGGCCCCATCAGACAGTCGTTACTGTTGTGATACTGTAGCGATATTTGACTACAGGATATTGTTTTTACCTACACGATTAGCCCGCAGTACCAATATAACTGAATTATCAGCCATATAGGGCGTCGAGGTCAATGAACCTTGGCTTGTTGATGCCGATATGTCCTCTGTGCAGTTTATAGGGGCATAAATCGTGATTGATTGTGCGAAAGACGCAGTGAGTGTCTCGATCGTTAAAGAAACAATGTCACATGACACAAACAGAATAACTTGCAAAATCAAGTTTTATACACAGCTTTTGTTTGCATGAATTCCTAAGTAAACATTCTTGTACTTCCATCGCTTGCGCAATGACCCAACGAGAGTCTTGAGGTACTTCGTCTCTTGGGACCATCACTGTTGCGTATTGTGGTACCTTCTCGTGCCAGTCAACTGCTAAACGCTACATTAAAATATTCTACTTCAAACCCGTATTGCGTAAGACCTCGCTAATGTCATAAGTATTTTGTTCATTCATCATCATCATCTGACGCCATTTTGTGTCCTTATAACAGTCCAATTCACATAGAGGATTGTAGTGAAAACTATTATTATTTCTGATTTCTTTTGATGAATGCATATTGAAAATACAGCAATAATTTTGTTATACACACATCCTAATATCATATATAAAGATAATATTAGGATTTGCCGTAAAATGTGTAGTAACCCAACCAAAACTCACTTTGGATTTATGTAATTGCGTAGTATTTGATGTAATGTGTATAAGTACATGTAGCGACACGATAACGAAAGCAATTAGCCAATTGATCTAAATATAGCGAGCAGGTACGAAAGGTTTATAGTAACTGCCAAATTGTCGGAACGTATGTATCATTCGGCGGCTAAATAATTTGTCATTCGGAAAATCGATAATTTTTCGACAGATAACTCATACGATATTAATTTAACAAGGTGGGGGAGGTGAAAAGATATGGTCCTTCGAGCGTACAGGTGTTGCAATATTTCAAAAATATAAGGTTCATTCGTTGAAAATAGAACCTAGGGTTAAAGCTACTCTTACTGGCTATCTATAATATCGATTCGATTCGATTCGATGTGACAATAACATATTATCCGAAAACACAATTTTAAAAAAAACAACAAGCGACGCGAGATCGGTCGGTCAGCTACTTATAATTCTTGTGTTGCAAGTTATTTTCCATACTTACATATTCCTGGAACGGGGGCCTAGATTACATTTAAATCAATGCAGCCCGGCTGGATCGACCTGAAGCGAACGCATTAGTTTGCAGGCCGACATGCATTATTGATACGGGACCTACTTTATATTCCGTCTATATGTCCTGAGTATTAAGGTTCATTTTTGCTTGACAGGAAACCCTCGGCGGCGGGGTGTACGGTTCGACGGGGGCATCAGGGGCGGAAGGCGGGGAGCGACGCGAAGGGGGCAAGCGCGGCCGAAGACCTGGCAGAAAAGCACAACTCGACAAACAGGACATGAAGGCTAAACTGGGTGAGTGCATAATTAGAGGGTTATTACCCCCTTCTTTTGAGAGTCCTATGGAAAGTTTCCGCTTTTATTATTTTTATCCCAACAAATTATTAAGTATCGTATAGGAACTTTGTACTTGATTGTCTAGAAATAGAACAGAGTAACATAGATAATGATTATTGATGGTTTTGCACATCGGTGTATTTCTTGTTTTCTATGTGTTTTATATTCACAAGACATAAAAAATAAAAGGCGTTTCGAGGCGTAATCGAACCCAAAGTCAGCGTATATTACTGGTACTCAAACCGATAAACTATTAATATGACAATTTTTATATAAACAAGAACATATTATCAATGTTTACAAGAAAGTGATAAAAATATATTTTATATTGTGTTTACGACGATGATATCTGCTTTGCTCTATATTTCATTTTAATATATAAATAATGATTATTTTCAAGAATTCGCAAAACTTTAAATAATTTTCTAACTATGTATCAAAGACATCTTACCTCATACTTCTTACTAATATTATAAAAGCGAATGTTTAGATGGATAGATAGATGTTTGTTTGATATTTCCGGAACGGCTCAATGGATCTCGCTGAAACTTGGCATAGATGAAAAACATAATCTGGAACAATACACAGGCTATTCATTAAGTTTGCTTTTAATTCCCCGCGGACGGATTCGCGGTCGACAGCTAGTTTAACATATTGCGTTGTATCAAGCATCGCAACAATACAAATCAAACTGTAGATGACGAGTTGTGACCTATGGTTGGAAAGTCTAGTTAACGGCTTTTCAAATGGCGTTTGCTTTATAAACCTTTGAAGGAGAATAATTTTAATTGTCCAATCTGTAACTGATTTATTCGAAATCCTTTGTTCTGTGTCTTTGTATCTTCATACATACAATCTATATGTATGGGGGCTATTGCGTATGCAGGTGAGATTAATGCGCATGCTTAATAAAGTGTCCTTGTTTCGCATCTCGACGGTTCGATGATGGAACGTTCTAGAATGCATTACTTCGAGGGTATTGAGCATGCGCGGGGATACAGGGCCGTGCGATGGTTTGCAATCGATAAGATTCCTTTTGTTGAACTATATTTAGTATAGATTATGTAATCTTTCAATCTTTTGTATGGTAAACGAGCGAACAGCTTACCTTATGTTGTACAATCACTACGGCTTTTGAAAAATAGACAATATTAGAAGAGTTAGCTGTAATACCAGCTTAGTATAGGGCTTTTTGAAGTGCAGGACAATTTTTATGTAACTGGTACACCGCCAATGAAGCTGATTGTACTTTTGTAGTACCTTTAATTATTGCAACTGCTTTTTTTAATTTTTATGGAACTTAAGAAATGAAAGATTCTAGCATACTAGGTTTTTTGGTCAAATCTAACCCCCTAAATTGAACGTAATAAAGGCCAATCATGATACAGCTTGTCGTTTTGTATTACGTCTTTTTCTAGAATTTAACTGCGACATATCGACAGGATAGTGCGCACGTCCCTGAAGTAACTACGCATGCGCGACTTTACCTTGAACTGACGGAATCCATAATGCCCCATCAGTTTTAGTTGGTCCGTCATACAAGATGGTCGTTTCTTTGATTCAAATTCAACCAACTCCAAATTTAACAATGCAAGCCCCGGATTAAAAATTAACATTCAATAGATTTAGTTTCCTCCTTTAGTTTATTATTTTTACTGATTAAATTGATTTTGTGATTATTATTTTTTTGGATTTCTCAATAATTTTGTGACAAAATGCATGCAAGGTGGGATGGAACAAAGGAGAGGTAAGTTTTTAACATATTATTTTGAGGCGTATTAAAAAAAATGTTTTAAATATCGGATTTTTACCATTAATATAATGTAGTTTTTCTTATTTTTTTTTTCATTTTATTTGTATTTACACATAATTTTAACATTGATATATTTTTCATATATTATAATGTCATTGTAATTCATGTAATTTTCATCAGAATAAAAAGGTGTGCCTACGTCTTTGTTCCTACCTGCGCAGTTTGCGGCGTAGGTAGCTAGCACGCAGGCGCAATAATATCGATCGATACTGGTACAGAGGTTTGAGGATAGGTCAAGCTATTTATAGAACTGTGGGCTTTTGCGCGATATAGTCCTGTATTGCGATTGGCTATATCTTAAACTTAATTATAAATTTAATATCACTATCTTCGAAGTTGAATACGAGGAAATGTCGTCTTAGTTGTTGACTTCAGTCAATCCCCTTATCATCGTTTCCTCTCCTCTCCTTTTCTTTCCCTTTTTTCTTTTCTTTTCTGTAACATTTACTTTGGAAAAATATTAAATATTTCTTATTGCGATTCATTTAATAAAAATAGTACTTGTCTACGTTTAATAAAAAAAATCTGATACGTTTCATGAGTCTTTGTTATAACAACGCAGTTATGGTACATCAAGGGAAGGGCAGTGGGTGGGGGGTAGGCGAGAAGGGGGATTTGGTGGGAGGAGACGAGGGTGGAGAAGGGGGGGGGGTTGTAGTCGTAAGGTGGGTTGCCAGGTGTGGGGAGGTAGCAATTGTGCTATTTTTATGCGATCTTTTAAAAAGTTATTTTTTTTTAAACTTGGTTTAATACAAGGCGATTTGATTATTGACATTTTATAGAGAACTGCGTTTTGTGTTTGGACAAATCTACAAGACTCTCAATCTGAACAGAGATCGGATCTAGGAATGGAACTTAATGAATGATATGATGGACTTCGAATAAATTACTAGACTCTTCGATTCTTATATTGTTTTAAAATGTTAAAGGCCATGTTTTGCACTGACTGATTATGATTTATTAGCTATAAAAGCCATGTCAACCTTTTTTGCGCTTCAAGGTCACAGCGTACTGCGCAGTTCGGCCACCAATCCAATCCTGTGCGCACCGCTACACATAAAATTGTGTTCTGCGCAGCGACTTGCGCGATGTTTAGGGCTGGCCAGATATTTGAAATTATAATAAATAGATTTTTGTTGTTAACCTTCAGAGCGCAGCAGACAATCAGCGCGCGAGTGCCGCGCCCGCAAGAAGCTGCGGTACCAGTATCTGGAGGAGCTGGTGGCGGACAGGGAGAGAGCTGTCATCTCGCTCAGGAAGGAACTCGATAAGGTAATTATTTATTTCTAGAAGTCGCGTTGGAATAATCTTCGACTTAGGTTATTTAGGGCGTCCTCCTTCATTTAAGGCCGGCTACGCATCTGAAGTTCTTCTGATGTTGCTTCTAAAAGGAAGTCAGTTACGTTAGAATTTTTCCAGACTTTAGTTCGGTGATTCGTACATTCTTTGGTCACCCGTTGAGTGGGATAAAGATACGTCGAGGCGACGTCGAGTGTACGCCGCGGCGATGACGATGCGTAGCTGTGATTTGATTAGTAGTAGTTATTGTAATTAATAATAAAATATTTTACAATTTCAGTACTACAAATGGAACCTCGAGCTAGATCAGGGGCGTATGCCGGAGGGGCTCGAGGCAGTTATCCAAGAGCTGGGCGTGGTGAAGCAGGAGGATGTCAAACAGTTCTAGATGCGGCGGCAGGTAAAGGGTTAAGCGGTGATAAACATCTAAATATTAGCAGGGTTATAAAGAATTTCTTGGATTGGTACGAGGAAGATTGAAGATGGATTTCATTTTTTTTTGTTACCTTTTAAGTTTATCTTTAATCTGTTTTGGTAGTTTAAATTCTTTAGTTTGAAGTTCGATTTTTAAAAATTTATTAGAAATTCAAATTTTTACCGTTTTTTTTTGTTTTATTTTTTTTTCAATTGCAATATTTTTTTTGTTATAATTACTAAGTAGCTGTTATGTTAGCCGTAGTTAAGTGTATTTTTTTTATCTATCTGTCGAAATTGTGATTTTGCCGCCAATGAATCCAATTTTTTTAAAATGGTTAATTCAATTCACATTTAGTAATTTCGTTTAAAATTTATAATTCCTAATTCATCCCAAAGTTTTTTTTTGTTTTTAACCTTAGAGGTGACTTCAATTTTTTTGTTATCGTAGACCTAAGATAAGTGTTTTATGCATCTAAATGTTAAAAATAAGAACTTTAGGATACTTTTTTTTTTAAATATTAGATCGCATCTACAGATTTAAATAGAATTTCTTTTATGCTATAATATATAGTCATCTAAGATGGCTTACTCGTCAAGGGAGTGATAAAACATAGTTTCTTAGACACCGCTTATTTACCCTGAGTTTCCATTGACGAAAAACATATACAAAAACATATTATCCCTCTTTTCTAATAAAAAAAAATAACAGAGATAATATGTTTTTTTTTTTCAAGTATTTCGGTAATAGAAACTAATGGTTATAATTTACGTAAATAGATTTTGCTTGATTTAAAATTAAAAAATAGATCGTTATTTTATGTAAGTCGTAGTTTACTTTGCATTTAATTACTGTTTGTCTGTTTATATATAAAACATATGACATTGTATCTTAATTATTTTTTTTCAATCACGGGAGGTTTGAAAGTTGCGACATTACATTATATATTATTCAATAACTATATATAATATTTGTATATATTAATAATGAAACTTAAATTCAATATATGTATTTAATTTGAATAATTCGATTCAGATTTTAATTTTTCAAATATGTATATGTAATTTATATATTTTATTATTTATTATGTATATTATATATGCAATATTAGTGGCTAAAAAATAAGTTTATGTACTATAACGCATGTAATTACTTGCCAAATAAATCATAGATTTTAAGAAGACGGACACACTATGCAGAACAGTAGTTTAGTTGTTAAGTGAGTTTCTTAAATGAAAATAAAATAGCTATTATATACATATTAAGGAAGTTAGCAGTAAGTTTATTTCTCGCAACAAAGGTTTTTTTTTTCGCAACCTCGCTTTAATATGTTATTTTGACAAAGTAAGTTATTCTTCTAATTTTTTTTAAAATCAACAGTAAAAAGAATCGGACATTTCAATATGGCGGCTTTCTAATTTTTGACACTTCACAAACAAGATGGCGCTAGTGTGATCTTCCCAGCAAATTGATATCAAATTACTTATTTCTTTTAATTCATACAATAAAAATATATAATAATAATAACTTTTAAATTGTTTTTCTTTGTAAACAATCTAAAGTATTTTGGTTAGTATTTGAAAGATTTTTTTTCTATATCTTACTGGTATACGTTATTCAATTAAAAACAGAAGTACCTATATCAGACATATTTATTTTAAATTAATAACATTAACGTGTTAAGTGTTATTTAATATTTTGCTTTTTTTAATATAAATTATCAAAAAAGTAAATATAACATCTTATAATAAACTATTGCATTGCCGCGCGTAACAATACGGTAGGAACTTAATTTTACTAACAACGTTATTATTAATAACAAACAACTCCAAGTTGTTACGCTTAGTATTGCGATATCGTCTCTAAAAAAATAACGCTGCTAAAACAACGTTAATGTTAAGCTATTAAAAATAACCGTTATTTATAACGTTATAACGTTTATTAATTTGTTGGGAACACACGCTAGCTTTTATAATATGCGGGATTTAACTTACAATGTTCTAAATTGGTCTTGTGATACTTATTGTGGATTTCTGAGACCAAAATCCCCTTTATTGACAGGGATGATATATGTTTTATAGACAGAATTTAATCCGTTGGCTTCTGAGACTAAATCATGTCTCGTGGTTAAGGTAATTCAGGCACCAGATTTTGATAGCATGTCGTATTGAATTGTTAAAGAAACAAGCATTTTTTTAAACTGTTATATTAACGACCCGTGGATGTAACCAGTTATTTTTTCTGATACTTATTTTTAATTCATTTAATTAATACATTCAAACAAAAATCAACTTTGTTGCTTTTAGAATAAGGTTATGTTTTCTGTTTAATTTGCGTCATACTTCCTACGTTCAATTATTAGTTTTAATTTGTTTTTCAAGTGTTTTATGTGGATAATAGTCGATTGTTTAGTTTTTTTAAGATTAAGTTGTGTTAAACAGCAGTTTATTTTTAACTATCTTTGTCGGCAATCCGCCTTTGACTTTACAGTTTATTATTTTCAGTAGGTTAATATTAATTTTAAGGATATTGTAAAAAAAACAAGAAAAAGATAAAAAAAACTAATAGTTATAAGACGTAATTTAATCATTTATATTTAGTTGTAAGTTAATATATACAGGATGAGATTGATAAAGAGTCAAAATAGTAAATTTTTATAATTTTTATTTTATTACAACTTAAAAAAATCTGTTGAATATTGATAGAGAATTATTATATTAACTGTTTTTTTTAATTACATTCTTATGCATACAACAAATTCAAATTACCCAAAATAAGAGGACAAGTAAAATAAAACATCTAATTATATTTATTAATAATAATATTTTTCGTTACTATTCCTTAAAACTAAACTATCAAAGTTACGTAAACGTATGTGGGTCAGCAGAAAGTACAGCAAAACGGTACCAAAAGAAATATAACTTTAATACAGCTGTAACATCCTGTGAATGAGATAATAAGGTTGAAGAAACAAAGTTCCTATATCAATATCATCCTGTATATAGTAGTATAAACTAGTTTTAGATGTATTAGGTATACTTATTGATTATTTTTGTTTATTTTAAGTTATCTTGAACCAAGAATCGTCATTTATTTATCATTATTTAATAATTTCTTTATTATAACATCCCCTGTAATCAAGGAATTTGTCCAATTTCACCGGACGTTTGTAATCGAAAAGTTTATATGAAAAATTAGGGTGATTACACATGATATACTCTATATATAAATATTTTATTCCTTTGTTATATTTGACATTATTTAATAAAAATACTGCACATATTGACGGGGCTAAAGCAACTGTTTCTGTAGGACAAATCACCCCAAAAGTTCTAAAAGCCGCATTACAATACCAAAGTGCCATCTACACGTCCTTTACATACCGGTGTCAAATTCTCTCTAACACAATAGTTGGACCTGCCATTGAAGCGAAAATTATCGCCTTACAAGCCCCAACAGCAGATCTAGTCATAATTCAAGTCTCCGACCACACATGATAGGATGAGTGGTGCACCACAATTCCAACACGCCTCGTCCTCCATCACTTCACCTCGTTTGCAGATACGAAGGTTGCCTTTCAAGGCTTCAAAGACCAGGCACCATTTTGTTTTTGATTCGTGCTAAACTTTTGGCTAAAGATTGTAACGCATCTGTTATTGCCTAGCCTTATCGAACGTGAATTAACCAAACGCGGTCGTTGAGCCTTAGTGCTAGAAGGTTGCGGAATTGGCAGATGCGCTATAACATCAAAATTTATTGCATTGTGTTTTAACCCATTTTATACATGTGTAATCACCCTTATTATAAACCTCATCATTGTATTTCACGTCTCAATGACACGATGTGAGGTTAAACTAAAGAATACTTCATACAACCAAACGGGAATCCACCTCAATTTTAGAATATGTTTTTTCGTTTCATTTTATTTTAATATTAGTAATAAGCTGTATATACACTGGAGTGCGTTTGGGACTAAGTTGTTATAAAGTAGATATTAATTCAAATATATTTTTATATTAAAAAATTAGGTATAAGTTAGGTTATTTGTCAATGAACTAAATGAAAATTATACTCACGTACATTTAATCCGGTGGGAGATCTTCCACAAGATAATCCTGACCTTAGGGTCCTTCAAGAAGCGAGTGTACCACCATCTCAAAGGCCACGCATCTGCGGTTCTGGTATTCAGATGTCCATGGGCGTCGATGAACACCTCGTTGTTCCTGCTGCTGGTTTGTCCCCTTCTCTATAAAAAAAAACTATAATCTTGAACAAAAGGTCTAAAGTCAACTAGGGCAACATCTTTTGACCACAACCCTATTTACCATCAGGTAGGTTTTTGGTCAATGACTAGTATATTCGTAAAAAAGGTGTCAACATCTGATTAAGTGTACTTGAGTGTAGCCATTTTTATTTAGTTTATAATAATGTCTCACTAGATGGTAAGTTAGTATTAAGATTTTTGTTTTTTTTTTTTCAATAATTCAAAATGGCTGCGACCATGTTTAGCAGAACATCAGCTACGATTTACGCGCCATTTTGAAATTATAAATTTGAAGCCCGCGCACAATATATACCAATATATTTTTAATTTAATTTACGTTTATCAGCTTTAAATTAATTTTATGTTTTATAGTCGTGATATTTTTTACTTTTGTATTTAAGCAAAACTTAAAACCCCATACAATAATAGCACTTTTACTTTGAAACTTTTATTAAGAATCAAAATTTAGTTAAAAAAAATACGATTTCTTTGTTATAATCCTGGGCTGTCCGTGAAATATAATGCTGTAGTACATTAATAAAATTTACCCAAAAACTACATAAAAAAAAATTATAAAATTTAATATTAACGAAAATACGAAACCATAACATCCAGTATAAACCAGTCCTGTCGTATCACGATTTTAGTAACAAAATCTCAAAAAAAAAATCAAATTTTAAAGCATTTTTCACGGACTTTTTGTTTCTTTTTCATTATGACAATAGCATGTATGCAAACAGATTCTAAATAGATGTAAGAAGCAGCATTAATAATAATAGATTAGAAACTATTATTTATAATCAAGTCTAGAAAAAACTAGACTTTACTCATTCTTTTACATTAAAACGGCTGCAGTGTTTACTAAGAGGTCATCAATTAGGCCTACAAAATATTTACCTAATTTTATGATTAACGCGATGGATAGGACTAAAATCCGAGAAAGGGTATTAGATTGGAAATGGGTAGGAAATTTCTCTCCCCTTCCTTGTCCATCAAAGGAAGGAAACGTATCTGCGACTCAGTGCAGATGTATATGGGTCACTTAACTTCGTGAACCTTTGCTCGTTTATCACCATAAAATATAGAGTTTTCTATTGATTTGTAAACCTTTAACTTACTACGAGGGACTCATTCGCGTCTTTTCATATAAAATTTTTAAAACTTGCTACCATTTCAATGTATTTGAATGTTAGGAACGTAAATAAAGTCTATTGCTATTAATGTTACTGTTATTGTACCAAATTAGTTTTAAGTAATATGTGGCTGAAGAACATATCCAAACTACGTTACCCGTTTAATGGAAAGAGGTTGGGGTCTTTATAACACGCTTGAGGGTCAAGGACGGTAGACGGTTCACAACTCTATTCACAAGATTAGTAAGTAAATATTTTATTTCATTTACAATACAACTAGTAACAAAAAACTTGTAATTTTTTTTATACATTTCGTGAAATAGGTTCTGGTATTATGCTACGTATTACGTACGTACGGGAGGTAGAGAC